AATCACGACAAAATTAGACACGCGCGCAACATGCCAAGGGACCAAGTCAGATATCACATTCCTGTAAGGTCGACAAATCTAGGGGAGCTTTGCAAGACGTTGGAGACGTATCTGATTCTGTTCTTGGACGATGTGCAAGCGTGTCTCGAATACCAGACTGCTGGGCTCCAGCATGATAACGCCTCTATCCACGCTTCCAACGAAACAACGAATTCCTTGAAGACTCGGGAACTTCGTCATGGATTGACCTAGGAAGAGTTCCTATTTGAACGTTTTTGAGAACGCTTGGAGTATTCTAGCCCGCCATGTTTACGAGGGTAGACGTGAATTTGACAATTTAGACTGATTTCATGCGGCAAATTTTACCTCAGTTCCGATGACTCAGTTTTTTACCAAAGTCAACACATTGCAATTGCCAAAATAAGTTTCAAACGCATGTCGACTTTGGTCAGGAAAAAATGAGAATGTATTGTCATCGGAAAACGTAGGCCAACTACCTCACAACATATGATTGGGAGAAATAACGATACGTACTTCAATTCAACCTCAAAAGCGGCTAAGACATTTGATTACTTTTACGCTTCGAATATGCTCTAGTCGTTTTCGCGTCAATTTTTTCACGCATGATTCGTGCAATAGTCACAACCATCAGCTGTCCAAAACGACTTTCTCGATGGTGTGGGGTCTTCGCTTCGAGGTCGATCGGATCAATCGTACGGTATGGGATCTCACTGCCCTTGCCAAGCCACCATAGAGACCAAGCAGTTGCTGTGTCGACGCTTGGAAATACGAACGTCTCCGGAAGCTTGTGCAGACGACCACCCCAGGAGTAGAGCATGTGCGAGGTCGATCGGATCAATCGTTCGGTATGGGATCTCACTGTCCTTGCCAAGCCACCATAGAGACCAAGCAGTTGCCGTGTCGACGCTTGGAAATACGAACGTCTCCGGAAGCTTGTGCAGACGACCACCCCAGGAGTAGAGCATGTGCAGTCGTGGTTGGTGCTGATGGCGTTCCACACATGGTTCAGGAGTGGAGGAGCCCATTGGAAGTCGATCCAAAATGGACAAAAAGATCTTGTCGATGTACGCTGGTGTCACTGTTCCTGTCGTCGGACACCGACGTGTGGTCAAATTCGGAGCCGGGGCTACTGGGGCCATCCGACCGCACCGACGACTCGGGCGCCGCGTCTTCGAGCCCGGAAAACATCACGTGGCTGGTGACATCACGAACACGGGCCATGGCGCGACGGAAAGGCGAGTCGAGCGGAGGGCCTGTGGCAGCTGGCGCGTCGACGGCGAGTGGAGCCTCACGATGCGACTTTCCGGCTGGCGCTCGGGGTGACTTCCGGCAGGCGGACGGGGTTGCGGCTGGCGGGCGGCATCGGCGGCATTGCGTGCTCTGGCCGCGGAGTCCAGTTTCAACCCCTCATTGCGGGCGATGTCGGTTTGGCGCAAAATTGGAAGTGTGGGGGGTGGCGCCTTCGGCGTCTTCTTCGGCGCCGGCTTCTTGTTCTGCTTCGGCTTTGAAATAACGATATGAGGGTCCAAAACAGCACAACTGTTTTATTACACTGTAAAAATGTAAGGAACGGCGGTTGTGAAAGCTGATATCATGATTATACTATCACGTTTTGGGTGTGACATATATAGAATGGACATCTGATAGGCGGACGTTGAATTCCAAACGTCGTTGATTGGTTAGAACTCTCAGGGTTAGGTTAGGTGTAGATGAAGAACTTGGAGCCACCCAACGTATTCTGCTAATTACAGCCAATAGAATACGCTGAGCGGCGGCAACTCGGGCGGATCTCAGCCCTCATGTCAGATGGGATTTTCTTCACAACCACAGCAGCCCCACTCATGTATCATAGCTCAAACGATTCCTGAGAGCATAGAGAAGATGGCGCAAAAGGTTTCATAGCCATCCGATCAGCCATTTCGGTTTCTGTGCATTTCACGGAGTAAACTTTTCCGGCTGAAGGAAATTGGAAGAAAACCGCGCTAGAAAGTTTTGAACTGTATAATATGGACAAAATCGCATAATTCGCGTTTTGGTGATACAGATATCAGGATTAGGGCATGTTATTGTGTATCAAAAGCTATATAGTGCTTGAAAGCGTGTATTCGCTATTAATACTGATATATCCTTCTAAACACGATATGTGTTTTAAAAGCTCATGACAACATTAGTACAAGCGCTACCAAAGCGACGAAGATGTGGCAGCAAAAGTTCCCAACCGCATCGAGTTCACCTTGGTGCAAAAGAGCCTCGACACGCAGTTCGGCATGTCGTTCGTTGGTGTTCCCGAGTGCGGCACCATCGGCGTGCGCCTCAAGGTGGAGCAGGACTCGATTGCCGAAGCCGTCGGCATGGTGTCGGGTTTGGGTCTCGTCGGCTACAAGGACGCCGCGGACCGCGAGTACACCGAAGAAATCGTCGGGGCCCCTCTTATCGCAGATCCTCTGGCCAATTACCCTCGCGTCTACACGTTGCGCTTTTGCACCAAAGCGTTGAAGGTGTCCCACTCGCTCAACGCGCTCATTTGGATCCGATGCCAGCGACAAGAGTACGCGAGGGTCAAGCGCAAAATTATGCTCGCTAGCGCCACGGGGAGGTCCTTGGCCGCGATTTTGGCGCAGCGCAGACCGAGGCGGTCATCAAGTTGATGCATTCGCGCGCGACCAAGCACGTGGGTCATGCTCCGGCCAAGCTAGCCAGTGCCTTGGGCACGGTTTCTCTCGCCGCTGACGATGACCAGTTGCTCAACGCCGCCAAGATGGCCGTGAAAAAGAAGCGAAGCCGCGAGACCAGCGAAGAAGCCAGAGAGCGAACACTCCCATGATTATTAGGAGCGTAATACATATCTTTGCATTTAGGTCTTTGTTTATGGTTGTCAAGTAAGTACATAGGCAAGCTAGGTTGGAAACTAAGCGCGTCTAGCGTTTATCTTGTTATAAGTATGTCATGGGCAAGAGAGGTTTCGAAGCAGAGTAGATCACTTAAATAGCAACGAAAGGTCTTCATGATTTATCTTGTTCGTTGTATGATCTTTGTATGAGATCAACGATGAATACCACGAAGTGTTTTTGAAAATATTCAAGCATTTCGAAATATATCTATAAGTAATGTATCTCTGATGAAGTCGGATTTTGGCCACAAATAGCCCAAGTCACAAACCATATATACGTATTGGCACAACTTTATCGTTTTTTATTGTTATG